TTTTGGCCAAAAGAGAGAGTAATGAATAGGAAAAAAATTTAAGAGGAAAAACCTGCAAATAATTACTGGCTATGTAACTGAGTGAACTCTACCTGTAATGGATGCCAGACAAGGCGGATGAAAATGAAAGCCCGTGAAGAGGGGTGTACAGACAGCAAAGACCAGTCCAAGGAATCAACAGAACCATGGCGAGGCTGTGGAAGGCTCGTGGGGAGGGATGTCTCTCTAAAAGTTTGAAAATATTTCAAAGTAATTGATGATTACATGGAAATCATTCAGTATATATTTTGTGAGCTCCTACTACGTGCCAAGTCTGAGTTTTAGCACTCAGTCACAATTTCAGCCCATGAGCTTTTGTCATCAATGCAGAAAAAGGATTCTGTTTCCTATTCTTATTTTTCTAAAAGCATTTATTTCTTCTTTGGACTTTTTTTCATCTTTTTGCTGTTAAAAATGATCTAGAAAAAAAAAATCCTAGCAGAAATCTATGCAAAGAATAACATACCATTTTTTCTATTAAAGTCAGAAATATGAAAACAGTTTCTTGGTCAAATACAAATTAGACCAATGCTTCTCTCTTTTTTCTTTATTTTGGTGGTAGGTTGGGGGTTGAGATAGGGTCCCCCTGGCCAGGAACTCGCTATGTAGACCTGGCTGGCCTTGATCTCACAGAGATCTACCTGCCTCTGCCTTTCATGTGCTAGGATTCTTTTTCACTTGAAGTCCCGGATCCTGTGGTCTTCTCCACAGTGTGCTGCTAGCATTCTCTAGCCCCTCAAATATCAATTGCCCACCTACTTATTAATATGTAGTGAGTTAGAATATGCTAGAACCAAGAAATCAGGATCTAAATATTTTGAGTCCTTGGCTAGTTTACATGACAGAATTTATATCCCCCTCCCCTTGCTAAAGTTACTGTGAAGAAAAGAAATACAGCATTTGTTTTCTAATATGTATTTATTGGTGTGTTCATAAAACTTTGAAATAACATTGGAGACACTTATATTTCACTGTGGAAATGTTCAGAGCTTTTGTTGTTTGTAGTTTGGGAGTAAACATTTGTATGTATTTGAGAACACATGTGCATATATTTGAACATAGCATGCATATTTTCCCATTTACTGCAAATTCCCCATTCTAATTTGTATCCAGAGTAGAAAAGAAAAACATATGGATAACACTACTTCCTAGACATGTATTTTCAGATCTATCTATCTGAGTTTTCAGACCTACAGTAAATGAACTTGTATGAAGAAAATTTTGAATGTGCAGTTCAAATCTTGTCCTATAGTTTGTTTGCTGTATATTTTTCCATGCCTGCAATCAGCAGTCACAGGTCTTAAAAAGCGAGCAATATTCTTCTGCTTTTGCCATTTGTTTGTTGAAAATGTGTCTTAAAGGTTTTTAAGGAAAGACTACAGCGCAGTAACTTCTGTTCTAATGTTGTTTCCCTTTCCTTTCCTGACCAAGGAGCCTTGATTACAGCAGGAAACTAAAAAATGTAAGTGTTTTAACTTCTCTTTCCATATCTGTGTACTTTTGACTTTAATGGTCAACTAAATTCAATGCATCTCATAGGCTCTACTGGAAAGATTCTTAGGAAAAAGTGTGTGTGTGTGTGTGTGTGTGTGTGTGTGTGTGTGATAAAATAGCTAATAACTGTTATAGAATATTTTCTTAGGAAACAGAATATGTATTTTTTTATAAAATAGTTAATAACTGTGATCAAACTAAAAGTAGTGGATTTGGAAGTTTCTCTCTAATCAGTTAAGACTTCAATCTAGCAATAAACAAATGAAAGTTTGTTTGCATGTTGTTGCATCTGTTACATGTGTGTTTGCATCTGTATGCAATTCATTTTCTTAACTGCACAATGATCAGGGTCAGCACTAACATTAGCCTTTTCCATTTGTGAACCCAGATGGGATTACAGTCAACACACAGTTATTTTATGGTTCTAGTTAATGTCCTGACATTCGGGATTGTCTGTTCTCTAGGAATTTATGCATAAGAAATCCGTTAATAAAAGATCTTCTGGAAGTTTTGAAGGATTCATGATGCAAAAGTTTCCCACAGAGGTAGAAAACTGAATCGTATCCTAGCACTGACGCACATAACCATATTTTGGGCCCATGGCCAGCTGGAACCGTATACCTATGTCCCGTTGTCCAAAGCATTTTCTGGCCTACCACGAGGAAGGAAGTACATCAAGTCCTTCCCAGATTAGTTTAAGCAATAAGATAGAATGTGAAAATAAAGTAACGGCCTGAGCCTTTGTGTGGGTTTCAGGTCCCTATAATTCAGCTAAGGAGCAAATCTTTAGCCAACCCCTGATGGGTTTTCTTGGAAAATCAAAGTAAATAATGTTTGTGCTTTTGTGGACAAGCTTTTGGAAAGAGCATAAAATTAATATTTCTTCAGACCTTTGAATCTTCATAGGCATTCTTAAATATCCCAATTTGTTTAGCCTTGACATGCTTGTTATCAATTAAACATTTCCCATCTTAGATCAATGGGAATGTAACTGTACTTGAAGTCAGGGCTCTGCAGATCAGACTCTGCATTGCGTCGCTTTGCTCTGCTCTGACTTCAGCTGGACGTGTTGTGTTGAGCCTGTGCCGGGAAGCACTTGTTGACCTTTATCACCCCTTTGGGAGTCTTGCCATCCCTTCTAGTAGACCCTCTGTACACACAAGTAGGAACTGGAGCTCTGAAAGCACCAGTCTGAAAAATAACTGACAGTCCCTTCCATTGCATGTTTAAGTAAAGACTCCAAAGAGTTAGTGGAAAAATGTTGCCTGATATGAATATTATTTTAGAGAATTTATTTCCCCTCTCACAGAGATCACTTTCTCACAACCTCCCTTTTCCTAAAGCAGGAGTCTTTACCGAACTGTATATCTGTGTTGACTGAGACAGTGTTGGGTTCTTATTATTGTGATCTTAAATTAATGGATGCGGCATGTACAGTGGATTTTGCAAGTCAGTGTTCAGCATCTCTCCTTCCTGCTTTCCTATTCCTGGAGCGTTATTGCTTCCTCTGTTGAAATATTTTTCATCAGGACACATTCTCCCACTCTTGAGCATTGTTTTGTTCCACAGGTGTTAGTGACCATCTACTGGCTGGGGAAAGCTGCAAACAGCTGTGCGTCCTACAGTGGAACCACGCTGAACCTGAAGGAATTTGAAGGGTTGTTGGCTCAGATGCGAAAGGTAACTTGGCTTTTCTTCCTTAGCCCCCGAGGTAATGTTAGACAAGGTGGGAAAGCAGCACATTTCCTTCTTTTTGAGATTGATGCTGTTCTGTGTAGAGGAACTATATAGGCTGTTCATCTTTCCCAGAGCATCTTTATCTTCTGAGTCTCATACTTCTTCAACTTTTATATCTTATGCCCTTTGGTGAATGGAAGATCTGTGCTCGATCCAGCTTTAATTTCAAAAGAGCAAAGCCAGTCTGTTGGTATATGGCTTGATATGCCAAGGAGCTCATGGCTCAATGCACTATTATACAAAAATGAACACTTGCTCTGCACTTTCTACCTAAAGGTCCTCTTGTTAGACTGTTCAGGCCTTGGTGTGGGTGAGGTGATGCCAGCCAAGTTCTTGTCGCAGCACCCACCCTGGACAGGATCTGAGAAGTTGGAAACATTCTTTCTGATGTGTGTTACTGATGGCCATTGTATCTGAGTGACCTGGAAAGTCAGAAAACATTTTTAAAAGCTTGATGTGTTTATTTGATGAAATATTTGAATATCATTAAAAGCTTGATTTGTTTGTGGGAAAGATTGACTGAAGGTAGGATTTGTTGAAGAAACATTGGAATGCTTTGTGTGTACCTGCCTGCCTGTTCCTTTCAAAGGTTCAGCAATATATTTAACTCCTACAAAATGTTAGTTCATAGTGTTGCCTAGGAGAAGCTCTGACAAGCATCCTCAGTGAGGAGGAAGGCTTACATGCAATTAGCATCCATGAATTTTGGTTAAGGCCATCTTAGAGCACACATAATTGAGGCCAGCTCTTTTTGCTTCTCTAACTTGCAAATGAAATCCATTAATGAGACTCACTGAAAGACAGTCAGAGGGCCAGCAGAAAGTGCTACCATCAAGCCCTGCATCCTGAGTTCTCTCCCTCAAACTCACATAGTGGAAGGAGAGAGCAGTCTCCCACGAGTTGTCTTCTGACCTCCACATGAGTGTCCACACACACACATACACATGCAACACACAAATGTATAAATAACTATAATTAAAAAAATTTTTAAAAGACATTCAGAACTTAACAACTTTTAATACCAAAAGCAGGCATTTGCTCCAACTTTCTAATAATCTGTTCTCCTTTCCTTAAAGCCAGTGGTCTTTACATTTACCCAAAGCCAGTCTGGCTAATGTGTTTATAAATAAACAACCCAGGACTAGAGATGGAGTTCAGAGGTAGAATGCTTGCCTCACATGTATGAGGCCCTAGGTTTGTTCCCTAGCACTGAAGAAAAAATGATCTTTCAGTTGGTCATGACATAAAACAAACCTACCCCTGCAGTAAGTACAACACATTGTGTTAGTTCCGGTCTGGATTTGGAAAGTGGAAATGGTTGTTTCGATATAGTAATAATAGATGGGTCATCTTTTAAAACTTACAGCCTCCTGCTGGATTTGGAAGGAACTTGGTCTGCTCTCCAAGTTTCCCTTCCTACTGAGACAGTTCCTTCAGCTGCCTTGAAGTGGCCTGATGTTAACAGCTGTTTCTGTTTTGAATAAGTGTAGATGACATCACAGGACACGATGCAGTGGTTATCACTGCTGGGCAAAGCATGACTCCTCACTACCATGGCCACCTGTGGGACTCCCATGTCGTAGCTATGCACAGTAGAGACCAAAGGACCTGAAATTTGCTGGGCTATCCAAACACTAGAACTTGTTTATGTATGATATATATATTCTTTCATGTTTTTACTTCATATTGGCTTCAACTGCAATATGCAAAAACTCAAAATAACAGCTGAAAGAAAAGAAAAATTTATTTCTACCCATATAAATGAGATCTGGGCATGAGTGAACGGGCCAGGGCTGGGCTAGGAGTGCCACAAATTGCCATCCCAGAAAGCCCAGATTCTTCTGTGCCCTGGACCCACATCCTCAGCCCAGGGCTTCTCCCTGTTGGCTCAAGATAGCTGCTCAGACTTTCACTGTCAGGCTCACATTAAAGTCAGGAGGAAGGAGAAACAGAGAAGGAGGTGTGTACTAGTTTGATGTATTGGTTACCTCTCTCTTGCTGTTATACCATCATGACTAAGGCAACTTATGGAAGAGAGTTTATTTTGACTTATGATTCCAGAGGGAGAGTCCATCATGGTGGGGAAGGCATGATAGAGGCAGCTGAAAACTGAGAGCTCACATTTTTTCAAATAATGTTTTTATTTTTTTGACTATCATACATGAGTCAAAATGCATCATTTCCGTCCCTCCCAGTCCCCCTTCAACTCCTCCCATGTCCCCCAACTCCCTCTCAATTTCTTGTTCTCTTCTTTGATTACCATTGTTATATAGGCATACACTTATAGATATTTGTATATAAAAGGCACCGGGTCCATTTAGTGGTGCTCCTGTGTACCTGTGTTTAGGGCTGTCCATTTAGAATTAGATAGCCTCTCGGGGAACTAGTTCCCAGAGAAAGCTGATTCTCCCTCCCTCAGCAGAGAGCTCATAGCACACATAGAAAGTAGAGAATGAAACCGGAAGTGGGATCAGGCTAGGAACTCTCAAAGCTCACCACTAATGACATACTTCCTCCAGCAAGGCTGAACCTCCTAAACCTCTCTAAACAGCATCACCAATTGGGGACCGAATATTCAAATACATGAGAAATTAACATTTCTCATTCAAACCACCAGAAGGGGTTCTGCGTTGTCTTTGAGCACACTTCTGGGATGCTACACGCTACACTCCTGCTGTGGTTTGAATGGCTTCCATAAAAGCTCATGTTGGACTGTAACTGCTGTGATGGTTTTGGGAAGTGTCCCTTTCAAGGTGATTTGGTTGTGGGGTCTACACCCTTGCAAATGAATTGATGCTGCTATTGCTAGAGGAAGCTTGTTACTATAATCAATGTAAACTCTCTACTGTACTTACATTCTATATGGCTTGTGACATATTATGAAGGTTCTTTCCACTTGACATGGGACTTACCAGACTCCACAACTATGAAAAGTCAGTTTCTTTTCTTTATAAATTACTTAGCCTATAGTGTTCTGTTCTAACAGGAAAAAAAAAAAAAAACAAAAACAGAGAACAACAACAACCCCATACTCACACCTCATTGGCTTGAGCTTAGTCACATATTCATACCCACCTGTAAGTAAAGACGTGGAATAAAAGGTAGACTTTATTTCAATTAAAAAGTAGTGGATATTTATTACTAGACAAGAAGTAGATAAAATATATTGAGGGACAACTGGAATCTTCTTTACATGAACTGAAATAAATATGGAATTGAACTTTTGTTTTTCATGAAGGAGACTAGCTAGAAATTTTAAACATTATTTTTGTACTGGGAAGTGTGTGAAAAATCATTAACTATAGGGTACTTGCTCTGTGTGTGATGTGTATAGAGTTTTGCACATAGTAGGCCTTTACAGATGGTTGTTGCTGCTGTATACAAAAGGGTCTGTGCAAACATGGCAACAGTACCCCGCCACTGAGCCTGGGATGTATCAGGAAAGGCCCCTCAAAGGAAGGACTGTCTGCCTAAACAAAGGGTTTTCCTCAAGAATGCTGAAATAGAAGGGGACCGTGGAGGTTCAGGATGTGAGCCATGTGGGCTCTTCCTCCATGTTTTTCTCTCATCGCTCCCCATCACTCCTGGAATCCATTTCCCTTCCTGTAGGCAGTCATCCCTCATAAAGACAATGTGGCCCATAGCATTTCCAGGGAAGGTGCTTCTCATTCCTTCCTCAGAAAAGTAAGGGAGTGCTTCTTCTGGCCCCTGAGGCACAGTTACAAGGGATATGCTGCCCTGTTCCTACACTAGTCACTGTGACCAGGGTATGGAATACCACCGCTGGCCTAGCCCAGTTCTGTTTCTGGAGATGAAGGCATTGACAGGAGAAGGGATAAAGAGGAGGGAACATGACGGACGACAAAATAGCTTTCGTCATCAACTTCAATCCCCTGCATTGCATGTTTTCATGGTACTCATCACCCAGAAAAACTTAGGTTTTTCTGTGCATTTGTTGTCTTCTCTGTTAAGAGTATGAGATTCCTACAGTCAGGGTGTTTGTTTGTTATTGTTGTTGTTGGTTTTTTGACATTGTGTCCCCAGGGCTTGAATATGTCTATACATAGAAGGTGCCCAGACAATATCAGTAGAATGAATCACTTCCACAACCAGTGTAATGTGCGGGTAACACATGATCCTGTTGGAAAAGCAGAACCTCAGACATGTTAGAGCGGCACTCAGCTACCTTATAAATCACACAGCAAGCAGAAAAATGTTGAGTGGTACAGAGCAGGCACCTGGAGTTTCTTGGATACTGCCAGTCACCCACAGGCCTTTGCTGGCTTCCATTAGCTTTCACAAAGGGGCTAGGAAGAAGAGGGATAAGTGGGATAAGTGCAATAGCCCCAGAGTTCATGGAAGCTAGCAGTACTTGCCCTTTCATTAACCCACTTCCACCGGAACAACCAGCAATTAGCACAATGGGTTGATTTCAGTCTTACCTGCCTTTCTCAGAGAGTCAGTGGAAGACAGAACCCTACCAGACTTCAAGATGAAAGGCTCAGACAATGTAATTAGACCTCATGAAAGGAGATTTAGACTTGCCCGTCTGTGGGCTTCTTGGTTTATATTTTCCACCCTTTCCGAAAGCTTCACTTGAGATGACTGAAAAAAACCAAAGTGGGGCAACTCTTATGGAAGCCAATAAAATGGTATGTCCTGTGGATGGCCATGGCCACATCTTTATTTCTGGCTGAAGAACTAGCCTGTCACTTTACCTTCAAGGTCTCTGGGGGACCAGCTGGCCAAGGATGGCTACAGTGACCTGGTTTTTACTTTTCAAACTGGCCGTGCCATTCAGTTCCCTGTTGGGGACTCAAGCCAAATTTCATTCTTGGCTTGCTGCTTAGTGGTGAACATAGGAAACTCATGTTTATCATCCCCATGAGCAGCAGGAAGAAGGCTGCTGAGGCTCCAAGAACACGCACAGACTTACTTTCTTCCTGTGGTTTGAAGGTATGGGGGAGACTTTGGGCTTTGAGGAAAATCTTTCTAATACTGTTTTCTTGAAAATTCCATTTTGTAATGCTACATGAAGCAGCTTGTAAGCACTTGGTCACTTCCCACTGTGACCAAGTGACCCCACTCCCTGACTGTCCTTGCAAGGCATCTAGACACAGAGGAGAGAGAAAAGTATCCGTGAGTGTAAAACTGTGCTCTTGACTCAATGTATAAGTATTATATAATGCTTTATTAAAATGCTTATGCCCAAGTGAAGAAAGAGTAGTTAAAACCGTCACTGATACTTTTAGAGTTCTTATTCTTTATCATGCACTGTTCTGAATGCTTTCCATATATGAAGATATTTCCAGCAGCAGTGTGGGTCAGGTAGTATTACTAGCTCCATTTTACAGATGATGGCCCATCAGGTGAAATAAGTTGCTTAAGATAGTACAACTGGCAAGGATGAAGCCAAAATTTAAATCTAGTCAGTCTGGCTTCTGAGACTACACTTTTAATCATAACCCTAACCCGTATCTCTTTTGCAATATTTATAATTCGATAAATTTAGTCATAAACAGCATTAACTAGGACACATAATCCAGTTGGCATCATGTTTAGTATAAGGACACAGTGTCCCATGCTGATGGTAAAGTTAGAACTACATCAAAATTTTTTTAATTGTGTGTGTGTGTGTGTGTGTGTGTGTGTGTACATGCCACAGTATGTGTGTAGAGGTCAGAGGATAACTTGTAGGACTTAGTTCTCTCCTTCCACTATGTGAAAGGTGATCCAACCCAGGTTGTTAGGCTTGCTGACAAGTGCCTTTACTCATTGAGCCATCTCACTGGTGCCCAAAGATGAATATTTTTATGTCTTATTCTTTGGTATTTGGAGGCAGAGCCCTCTGATAGTACCTATGCCACTTACTGTGTGACCTTAGCTAAAGTAACTCTGCTTCTTATTTTTCTCTTCTGTACAATAAGGACAGTGCTAACTACCTCACTGGGTGGTTGCGAGGATTGAATAACGTGATGTACAAAACGTATGACCCAGACATATAAGTGTTCAATAAAAATAAACTTCATATTTAAACATTTGTTAGAGAAGTAATTTACAATAATAACTTGTATTCCCAAAGAAATTAAATTTGAATCCCTATCTAATTTAGGTCTATATTTTTCAGTGAGTCATGAGGTCTTTTTCCAGCTCCTCAGTCCTGGCTTTTGTTCCAAGTCTTGATTAACTTTTGACCTGCAAGTAAACAACCTTAATTCTCACAACTCACATTTCTGCACACACCCCCACACCCCCACCCCCGTTCCAGAGGGTCGTGTCACTGGACTGGCCCAGGCATTTGACAGCCTATTCTTCAGGGGTATTAATGGTATAGGGGCTGAAAGGTTTTCCTCTCAGCTTTTCCCTCGTCCCCTTGTCTACTCCCTTCTCCTGATGGTAAACCTGTGTGTGCCTTGTAAAATGACATCAATTCCAGCCCCCATGTCTACCCCCCCACTGTGGGGGTGTCAGAGGATTCCCCCCCAAATTGATTGAAACAGCAAAGACACTTCCTGCAAAGGCACAGATTCCCAGGGGCACCCCAGACAGTCTAGACCAGCTTCGCAAACTGCAAACCTGGAGAATATTGATTTATTTTTCCATTCTGTCAGGAACGCAGAGGGGACCTTCATGTATATCCGGGGAAATCCACAGGGCCACATTCCAGTCTCTGCCCATGAGAGTGAATCCCTTTGCCAGTGTGATTCGCAGTTCGGATTTTTTAGCGACAGTCTGGGGGATATTAAATGCTGGTTTATCTTTGAGTGACTGGAGTTATTTTTGTTTTCGTCAGCCTGGACTATTGTAATGAATGCTAAAGCACTGGCGGGAACAAGGCTTTTATTATAAGACGAGGGTGAGGATGGCTTTGACTGACCTTTCTTCTGCTGGAGTTTCAGTGTTTTAGTATGTGCCGCTTGTGCTGGAAAGAATTTATAATCACAGGCTGTCAAAGACAGCCATTGTTCCCGCTCTGAACATGTGGGTCAGCCACAAGTGCCTGCAGCTCCCCCAGCGCCAAGAACTGGCGGGGAGAGAGAGCATGCCTGGATTCTTCTGAGGCATCAGGAAAAGCATTTTGCACATTTTTCATTGCTTTTTTTTTTTTTCTTCTTTTTTTTTAACTTTTTGCCTCTGAAAGACAGCTCCCTTTCAGAGCAGGAATTTCCCTCCAAGGTAGCAGGAGATGGAAGTATGTGGCTCCAGGATTTTACAGCTCTGATTCTGCTGCAGAAACAGATGCTGCCTGCATTTGCCAGCTAGCACGGCCAGAAGCAGTTGTGGACTAGACTAGTGATTTGTCCCGGACAGACATGCGGTTATGGATCTCGAAAGACAGGTCAAGGTTAAGGTTTTTGTCTTTGTTTTCAGTGATTATTGAATTTTTAGGAATCCACACTTTGTGTTCCTTTATTCTTAATTCCTTGGCTTTTTAAAAGAAACATTTATGGAATGTAAATTACTTGGGGATTTTTTTTTTAATGTTGTGCATGGTTTTCTAATTGTGAGAATACAATAGAGAAAGGTTGTAGAAAGGACCAATCGCTGGTCAATGCTCATCAGTCCCGTTAGCTGCTATGACCTTTCTATTCTGGACAGATATGTAGGCATCTTTGGAGACCACTTGGAGACTGGATCCTGTATGTGTTTTGTAGTCATGTCTGAAATTCTTTTGTTTTATTTTGGGACAGGAGACCGATGACATTGAGAGCCCTAAACGCAGTATCCGAGACAGTGGCTACATTGACTGCTGGGACTCTGAGCGCAGCGATTCCCTCTCCCCTCCTCGCCACGGCCGAGATGACTCCTTCGACAGCCTGGATTCTTTTGGCTCCCGCTCCAGGCAGACACCTTCACCAGATGTAGTTCTCAGGGGAAGCAGCGATGGTAGGTGGCGTCTTCAAACAGTACACATCTTGGAATTAATCATTAACAGGGGCTACTCAGTTAAGGGCAGAGAACTGGGCCCTGGGCAGGCAGATTCTGTATCCACCTGGCTGGAGCCTCGTAATGCTAT